GCCCTTGTGGTCTCTTCCAACTCTATGATTCTATTATTCTATGATTCCTCTGTCATGTGGGGATCAGGGTTTCCCCACCTGCTTCCTAGGTGTTTTGAACTACAGGTCCCAGGATCCCAGAGGGCCATTGACCATGCTGGCTTTTGGGAGTGAGAGTCCTCCCGTCTCTCCTTAGTAGACCAGTAGGAGTTGCCACTACAGAAATGGTTCTCAAACTGGGCTGAAGTCTGGGACTTCCACTCTCAAAACTCCTGAAGATTGGCCGTACTGTGTGGGATTTTGAGGAACTGTAGAAGAGTGTGTTAGTGCATGTGGGGCCCGTCAGATGCTGCTGGACTACAGCTTCCATCATCTTTGGGCCTTTGGCTTTGGCCAATGGGAAGCAAGGCCAGAGATTCCCCTCCCCATCCAGTATTGTGGATCAGATTTGGCTCCCTATGGGAGGGAGCTGTAGGTGCAGCTGGAGAGTCCTCTGGCCCTGATAAGGAGGGCTCCTGCTGGGGAGGGTAAGCCAGTGCTTCCTGCCCTGAGAGTCTCCAAAGGCAGCCACCTGGTGCAGAATCTGATCCCACCACCATCCATTCTTTCTCAGTGAAGTCCAGCTTCTGTGGGGAGAGGGCGAGGACTCTGCACATGCTCGGGAGCAGTCAGAACACAATAACCTCTCAATGGATCAAGGAAGACCCTAGATAAAATAGATACCAGAAAATGTATTTGTGCAAAGATCAAGACTATTTGCTGTTGGATGCCTTCAAGTCACTTCTGACTTATTACGAACCTATTCTGGGGTTTTGGCAAGCTCTGTTTAGGGGTCTGTTTGTTTTGCCATTATTGCCTTTCCTTGTGGCTGAGAGTATGTGACTCGGCCAAGGTCACCCAGTGGGCTTCATGGCCGAGCTGGGACTCGAACCCTGGACGCCAGAATCGTAGACCAGCACTCAAACCACAAGACCACGCTGGCTCTCATTCAGACTATTTAAGGGACCTAAAACTGGCCAATTGATTATTGCAGAAGTACATATTGGAGGTGGTTGCCCTTCACATGCTCAGAGGCACCATCCTCCCAGCGGGGGTCGGGCGGTTTTGGTCCGCAGCGCCTGGGGCTCCCCCGCGACGGCAGCCGGCAGATACTGGGAGGCAGAGTCCCTTCGGGAGACCAGGGGGTGGGGCCACTCCGTCGCCCTTTCCGCCTCTGCGCACGCAGGCAGGATGGTTGCCGGGAGTCCTGCGCGAGTTTCCGTAGTCTGGGCCCTGACTTCCGGCGGCTCTCCGGAAGTGACGCGTCCGTTGCCCGGCAGAACGGGGAGCGGCGCGGAGATGGCGCTGCCGCCGCCGCCCTCCGCGGGGCTCCTGCCGCCACCGCCAGCCCTTCCTCCCGCTCCGCCCTCCGGCCCCGGTTCCTCCTCGTCCTTCCCCCCTCCTCGCACTCCCGTCCCGTCCCCGTCCCCTGCGTCGGCCGGGCTGGGCCTGCGTGTGCCAGCGCTGTGCCTGGCCTGGTACGGTCTGAGCGCGGGCGGGAACGTGGTGAACAAGGTACTCCTGGGGGGCTTCCCGCGGCCGGTGACGGTCTCGCTGTGCCACGTGCTGGGGCTGGTGGCGCTCCTGCCGCCGCTGCTCCGGGCTTGGC